GGACCGGCCCCGGATGACCCGACCGCCTATCGGGAATGGCGCAAGGTCTACCACTTCGAAGTGTACTGGCCCAGGGAAAGCACTGGCGGCACAACTATAGGCACGGCTCTGCAACCGGTATCCCACGCCACTTTCTACACTTGGTATTACAGGGACTGGGTCACCAGAGGGTACCAACGCCTGGGTCGTCCACATCCCAGCATAGCGAGACCAGTTTTCGCTTCGGGTGCGCCGGACCTCATGTATGCTGGAATGACCTCCTCTTCGGCATCATCCAATTCACATGATAGCTGATGCCCGTCCTCGCCTCCCTGGAGAGTCTGACTGTGATGTTGGCGCCGTACAGTGCTACAAAAGTGGTCTTTTGCGTTTTGATTGTTGATTTGCTTTCACTCGTTGTTGTCTGCAGCCGTACACCTATCAACTTGACTTTCCGTGGTTGCGTTGTCATGCCGTGGCTGGAATGGTGCCCGGACCCTCAACAACCTGATGCCCAGTGGGTCAAGATCTTTCATCCGGGACCATGGACGCCTCAGGAAGAACAGGATGCTCCACCTCCTCCGCATACTTTCAGAGAATGGCGGGAGTTCTATGCTCCCAACCAGGACTCAGTTGAAGGGCAAGTCCAAGTCACTACGTGGTACAAGCGAGACTGGGCCACGGAGGGCTATCGGAGAATCGCTGCTCCTCACGCCGGTCATGAATTTGATTCCATGTATCCCTCCGATCACCATAACGTGGCCACGCAGTCTGCGTCGTTGAGTATGTCGCCGGAGCTGTTAGACGCGATTCTCAGGTCCTCGGATGCGGCTGATTTCTCCACTGAGGAACTGATTCGTCTCCAGGAGGGGATTTCTCAACAACTGACGGCCCGCGCACGTCTGACCTCTCATCCTCATCAACCAGTACGTGCATCGCGTGGCAACACACCATCGGAGACGATTGGGGTCTCCGACCCCTACACGCCCGTGAATCCGTCCGGTAGCGGCCAAGACAAGATGAGGCCCGTCTTCGAGCTCACTGAAGACTAGCCTTGCATGAGCAGCGCAGCGTACAAAATAAGGGTGACCTCTCCACTTGCATGATCTTGCTTTGCTGTTGTTTGAACATGGTTGTGCATGGTGCTTGTCCACCTACTAGCTGGATCGGAGCCCGCGACCATCCTTGCCTCTTGCCTCGACATGGACATCGATGATTCCAAGCAGTATCCATGGCTCGAATATTCGGTCTGGCATGATCAGGAGTGGGTGCGGATTTACACTCCGGGACAACCTCAACGATGGCACCGTGGTGACGCCGTACCTGATCTACCTGAAAACTCTTTTCGTGAATGGCAGCGGGTGACGGATCCCGAAGCACCAGTCCAGGCATGGGACATCCGTGACTGGCAACACCAAGGGTACCAGCGCATTCTGTCTCGGATTGAGTCCTTCGCAACTCACTGTTCACATGATCAGACTCTTGGTCAAGGTCGGAACTCCGATGCCGTTCAAGTTGAGGAGACCTTCACCTATGCCACTCCGTTTTCTCATGGTGATCGCCCGGCTGCTTCGCAGATCGCTTCAGTCCTCTATGGCGACACTCGTAATGCTCAACGTTGTGAACTTTCGTTCCCGTCTTCTGAGCGGTTTAGGGTAGTGTCTCGCTCCCCTCGCCGTGGTGGATATTTTGGCCAACGATAGTGATTTGAGTTTGAGCATGTGATCTTCCTGCAGGAGAAAAGAGAAACCTCGCCCCTCGTAGAGGGGCGTGTGTGTGCGGAGTGACAGAATGCCCTGTCACCACCCTTTCAGTTTCGCAGCAGGGGCGTGCAGCACCTTTGGCATACTGCACGCAATGAAGCTATTGCCAAAGGTGGGAAGGGTGTCCAGACGTGGACACCTGTACCTGCTTTCCGTGATTCTGAATGTCCTTTTGGCCCCCTTGGTTGCGGCGCTGTTTGTGCTTCTTGTTCTTTCCTGTAACGGTTTCGTTTCTAAAGTGAAGCCAAGTGACTTGCAAGCAGACCTCAGCCGAGACTCATCAGTTGTACTCGAGACTCATCAGTTGTACTCGAGACTCATCAGTTGTACTCGAAAGATTAGCACTCTCCTTTTGGAGTTCAAGTGTGTGTGTGTGTGTGTGTGTGTGTGTGTGTGTGTGTGTGTGTGTGTGTGTGTGTGTGTGTGTGTGTGTGTGTGTGTGTGTGTGTGTGTGTGTGTGTGTGTGTGTGTGTGTGTGTGTGTGTGTGTGTGTGTGTGTGTGTGTGTTTGTGTTGTGGTGCGTGTGTGTGTGTTGTGGTGTGTGTGTGTGTTGTGTGTGTGTGTGTGTGTGTGTGTGTGTGTGTGTGTGTGTGTGTGTGTGTGTGTGTGTGTGTGTGTGTGTGTGTGTGTGTGTGTGTGTGTGTGTGTGTGTGTGTGTGTGTGTGTGTGTGTGTGTTTGTGTGTGTGTGTGTGTGTGTGTGTGTGTGTGTGTGTGTGTGTGTGTGTGTGTGTGTGTGTGTGTGTGTGTGTGTGTGTGTGTGTGTGTGTGTGTGTGTGTGTGTGTGTGTGTGTGTGTGTGTGTGTGTGTGTGTGTGTGTGTGTGTGTGTGTGTGTGTGTGTGTGTGTGTGTGTGTGTGTGTGTGTGTGTGTGTGTGTGTGTGTGTGTGTGTGTGTGTGTGTGTGTGTGTGTGTGTGTGTGTGTGTGTGTGTGTGTGTGTGTGTGTGTGTGTGTGTGTGTGTGTGTGTGTGTGTGTGTGTGTGTGTGTGTGTGTGTGTGTGTGTGTGTGTGTGTGTGTGTGTGTGTGTGTGTGTGTGTGTGTGTGTGTGTGTGTGTGTGTGTGTGTGTGTGTGTGTGTGTGTGTGTGTGTGTGTGTGTGTGTGTGTGTGTGTGTGTGTGTGTGTGTGTGTGTGTGTGTGTGTGTGTGTGTGTGTGTGTGTGTGTGTGTGTGTGTGTGTGTGTGTGTGTGTGTGTGTTTGTTTGTTTGTTTGTTTGTTTTGTTTCTTTATTTTGCTTGCTTGCTGGCTGGCTTGCTGGCTGGCTGGCTGGCTTGCTTGCTTGCTTGCTTGCTTCTTTGTTTATGTGTTTGTTGGTTTGCAGGTTGTGGGTTTTGAACTAAGACTAGGCTCAGTTGTGCTTTTTTGTTTCGGTCTAAACATCACCTTGTTTTTGTGTGCCATGCCGTGTGCCATGTGGATTGGTTGTTGGTGTTCATGTTGGGGGGGGGGGGGGTAAATGCCTTCAAGGTACGAACCGCCGGTAAGAGCCGTCATGTTTTTTGGTCAACTTTGTTCCTTTGTGAATGCTGACCCCGGATTGATCAACCGGGCATTGCTTCCAGCAAAGCGAAGCTGTCGAAGGGTTGGATGAACAGCAACAACAAATCCACATGGCACACGGCATGGCACGCGGCATGGCACGCACACAAGGTGATGTTTAGATCGGAAAATACCAAAATAGATGAGCCCTGCCAGCCCTCTATGGATGCACGGCGTGCCATATTTTTTATTGGGCAAGGTTGTTCATCCCCTCAACCGCGCAAAAACATCAAATCCTACCATGGATGGTTGCGAAATCCATTTCGCACCACCTATGAACGTTTGTTGGTATTTACTAGGGGAATTGAATCAATCCAGGGTTTCTTAGGTGGTGCAGGATTTCGTCCCCCACCTCCGACTACTGTGATCAAACGAAATCCTGCACCACCTGTGAAACCATGGCATGATGCTTCCCCTGTTGCTACCAACAAACAATGGTTTCCCATGGTTTCAAAGTGGTGCAGGATGTCGTCTGATCACAGTAGTCGGGCACTTTAACAACACTCAATTAGTGACTTCGGCAAGTCATTAGTGACTTTCGCTCTCATATCAAGTTTTTTGGACATTAGTTTATCATTGGCCAGGCCGGATGAGTTGAGTTGTATCTTACTCACTTGAACCCATCCACAAGGGCTCTATGTAGTTGATTCCTTGGCAATTGGAGATAGCGGGATACTTGCGAACCAATTGCTGTTGTAGCCCCATTATCAGTGTTGGAAGCAGACCTTTCTACAAGGGTGTTGGTTAGTGTCAAGACTAGTTAGGACAAAATGTGTTGGAGACACGTTGGTTCCTTTGTAACATGCCGCCAAGAAGGTTCCCAAGTTACACATACACAACTCAGGAGCAGTACAAACCAGCAGCTTCCCAAAAACTCCAACCGGGAACGTTTGTTTGTTGTTTGCGTATGCTGGGACCAAAGTTATATACCATATCACATAATTTAAACACTGTGATCCCCTTAGAAAACCCGCTTGCCAAAAGCAAATCGAACTAAACTTGCCCTTTGGTTGTCCCGTTCTTGTATGTTACCTATCTTGTGCAGTTTTGGGTTTCCCACAAGATGACGTGAGTTTCGTCAATGTGCCCAAAGGCATTCCTTTCATTAAGTGGGATCCATGAAATCCTCCGAAAGGCGGAAGGGTCCAAAAAAGGCAAGGGATTGTGAATTAAGGCGACCTCCCTCCACCTTTACCTTTTTGATTTGCAGTTGCGGCCATCCTAAAACTCTAGGGAGTTTCTTTCCCACCTGAAGTGAGGAACTCACTCCGAGAGAAAATCGACGTGTGCGCTTCCATCAGTTGTCCCCTCAAGGTCCCGAAAGGTGAACCTCGGTTCAAAGCGAATCGCCCTGAAACGAACTTTTCTTGCTGCTGAGCAGGGAATGAGGGAAGGACCCTTGTAAACCATCCTTTGTGGTTTCCTTTAAGGGGAGCCGTGGGTTCAATGCCTCATTCCCCACCTCTCGCACAGCAAATCTTAGTTGCCTGTTTGGGTTCTCATCTTTTCGTGTCCCCAAAAGCTGATTGATCACCTGCGTCTGAACTGGATTGGGAGTATATCCCAGTTGCCCAGCGCCCTTTTTTCCTTTTTGCGGGGGAAGGGTTCCCTTTAAACTCAACCAACCAGAAAAAGGATGCCCTTTTTTTCCACTGGGCATCTGAGATATGTCCAGGTCTCCAAATTTTTATGGCGGCTCCCGGCGGGTCCCGAGCGGCTCAGGCTCAGTTCCCTACGGCCAACGGCTCGCCCGGCCGCTGAGAAAGGTCGACGCGAGACATGTTCGATCCATGGGCATGGTTCCGGTTTCAGTGCCATTTGGGTGGCTCGTCTTTTCTGAGGGTACCTACTGTTTTTGTGGTGTTAAAGACGAAACCAACAGGAAACCATGTTGTTAGGTTGTACCCCCGAAAATGGTGGCGTTTCCTGTGGTTTCGGCTTAAAACCAACCGAAAAGATGTACCCTCACAAAGAGAGATGTCCAGTTGGGTGTTTTTGTTTTGGAGGGAATCTATGGGGATTCCGCCAGGTGGAGAGAGACCCAATTCCTCTTCTACTTTGCAACCCCTTCCCTGCCCAGCGTGCTCCCCGCCACGGCACTTGGGACATCAAAGGCGCACGAAAAAAGTCGGCCAATGTCGGGAACAGAACCTGGTTGACCAGGTTTCGCCGAGATTTGGTTAGAAAGCCGGACAAAAGCAGGTGCCTGGACATCCAAAAAGTCCAGCTTTCAAATGGGTTTTTGTTTTGCAACCCAAAGTTGAGGGGCCGGTTGAATTCCAACTTTATGGGTAGTTCCTTCGGGTCATTTGTTAAGTATAAGAAGTGTACGTCCCCAACTTCACCATGGGTAAGAGCTGGTGTTCCACCCCCGCAAACCCAACGGCCTTTGGCATTTCGAGGGTCGACCCGTGAAAGCAAGCACCCCGCTGGCGTTTTGTGGTCGAAGGGTGTATTTCGAGGGGCTCAAAAGACGTCACCCTTGCCTGGGCCTTTGTTTGGATGCGAGAAGAAATGTCGCACTCGTTTGGCACCCTTCTGGCACTTTTACAGAACCAATGACAAACTTGCAGGTTTCAGTGAAAAAAAAAGCCCGAAAGTTTGAAAGCAAAGAGAGAGAGTCCCAAGAGAGACAAAGGCTCGCACTTTGGGCCAGACGGGTTTGGCGTTCCCCCTAGGTCACAACATGCCAGCGAATCACTCCTCCAGTGATACCAAGGGTAGGCCCTTGAAAGTGACTATAGCTGGAGTCAAACACCCTAACATCGATCCATCCCAAACTCTTTTTTTCTGGAATTGGTCTTTGTTTTTCGCGTTTCGGATCAGGAGACGCATTTAAGTGTGGGTCTCTCTCGTTTTTGGGACACCCCTAAAGTGGCCGGCGAGAAAAATTGGTTCAAGTCCAAACAACCTCACACACCGGTGAGTCCTTTGGATTTCTCAGTGACCCAAAAAATTGACACGGGAGAAACCTTGGTGCTCAGGGAATGACCTTCTCCAGGTGTTGGGAATGAACTGGTGGGGATTCCCGAATAAGGGAAACCAGAAACCATAAACGATCGCTTTATTCCAGCTCATTCCCTGCTGAGAACCACCTAAACCCTGAAACTACCGGCAAAAAAGCTGGAGCTTTCCCCAATTCCACAACTTTTGGCTGCACTAATTCCCATGTTTAAGTTGGCTTTGGGTTGCAATCCTACTCCCCTGTGTAAGTTGGAACCCGCATTCCCTGGTCGCACCACCCCGAAACCATGGTTGTTCTTGGGAAACATTGGAAACATGTTTGCTTCTTGTGGTTTAGCGGTTGAAATCCAAATCCACCAAACTGCTAACATTTCAGAATTTTTGCTTGCCTAGCCCAACGTGAAATCCCCACTTAGCTGCTAAAATTTCGGAATGTTTGCTCCCCTAAGCCAACGTCAACCAATCGAGCTCCCAGCTCCCAGCTCCCAGCTCAGCCGAGGCCGGCGCGCTGCCCTCTGCCCAAAGACTTCGAGAAGGACCTTGCACGTTGCTTGGGACGAACCAACTTTTTGGCCAAGCAGTGGGTTTTCCGTACTTTGAAGCCACTAAGAAAAACTTTAAGCAAAAAAAGTTAAGAAGAAAAAGCAACTCTTAGCAGGGGAGCAGATTTCGCAACCGAGAGGAAGCCAAGCGCCCGGAGCGCTCCGGCGCTGAGCCGGGCGCCCCATGCCGTTCCGGTGACGCGGCGCGCTGGAGCTGGGGGGGGGTTCAACTCGCCGAAAGGTCGTTCAAGAAGCGACCTTCGGTATGGAAAGGCGAATTTTGGGTGTGCCGCAACATGTTTTTCGGGTCCGCAGGTGTTTTTGTTTATTTGAGCTTCTACTTGATTTTCTAGGGCAAATGTCATTGGGCCGAGTCCTGGTTTTGAGCCACAGATGGGTCCTGGAGCCAGGTTCTCCTTGGGCAATCGACCAGTGAAGACCTCTGGGCTAAGCGTTGGATGTTTAGATCCTTGAACACTTGGTCCAGTTATGTCCAGTTAGCTAAGTGGCTAAGTGATTCGTGACCCCGCGGTTCACCTTCCTGCAAAGCTTTGCAGTTGGGGGTTTGACCGTCAAAGCTTCTCTTAGAACTTCCTACTTAAAGCCGCTGCAAAAAACAATAGGCTACGGAAGTCCACCCTGTGCCTGGACAATCCCAGTAGGTAGGCCAGCTTTTGAAGGGTACCCAGTCAAAATCACACGGCACAAGTCCCAACAGTTGGGGGCGTGAACTAACTTCGCATGGTCGTGGTTCGCGCCGCGGAGAGTATTAATTGAACGTACCTGAGGAACATTCGAATACGCCGATATTTGACATTAGGTTGGCCCAATTTGGCCACCTCCTCCTGCGGCGAATACTGTAACTGGGGGGGTCTATAAATCTGGGTGTCCCCTCAAACCGCACTGTGGGGGTGTCTCTTTTGGAGGTTACCATGTTCGGTTGGTCTAAAGGGCAAAAAAGTCGAAAATCACCCTTTGCTTAAGATGTTGTTTTTTTTGCGCTGTTGGATTTAAAGGATTTCTAGCATGGACATATGGCGGTGTCTTTCTTAGGAGCCCCACCAAAGTGGTGGTTCTCCTTTTGGTTTCCCTTTAAAATCCAAAGAATTGGTGAACCCTCAAAAAAGGAGACTCCCATACATCTTTGCAGGGCAAGAAAAACGCAGAGGGAGGTAAGGTAATTTGAGGATGTAACCAGTTTCTTGCGCGAGCACCTCCCGAGCTTTTGACCTCAACAGTTCGCCCATTGATCGCGTGAAGGTTTCACCCACCGTGCTGCCTCTCGAGAAAGACAGTTGGACGCACTTGGTTGCGAAGAAGGAGTCTGCCCTGATTGGTGAACCTTTGTCGGGACAGCATCTGATCGACGTCAGCTGATGTTGACTCCTGCGGATCTTTGCGGGTGCTAATGGTCTTATGAGGCCTTCCCTTCGCCAGCCGCACCAGGCAATGCCGTGGACTGCTAATTTCGAGGAGGCCCTCAACAGCTGTGCGAGACCAACGAAGACAATTGCCAGCTTACTCTCCTTCTACCGGTGCGATGTTCAGTGCCGCACAAGAGGTGGACAGCTCCACCGTTTTGCGTAAGTGCAACAGGGCGGACTTGTTTTGTTGGGGTGCTCCCTGTTTGGGCCTCCATGTTCACAAGGGAGTTACATTTTCCCCTGCCTTGGGTCAGCTCTGAGCCCCTTGAACTGACGTCACTTCACTGACCTGGGCAATTGTGGTGGGGAACAACAAGTCCAGCTGGATTTTTCTTACCAGTCGGAAGCAAGTGAGCGGTTTCCCTGCGAGCCACAAATTGGGTATGTCTCAAAATAGGACCCCCCAAACCAGTGGTTCCCTGTGGTGTCCCCCAAAAAGGGTACCCTCAAACAACAAACCCATTTAGAGGACAACTTGAGAATGTCCACTTTGATGTACACAGTTCTTGCATGTTTGAGGGACAGATGTTGACTGGGGTGATGTTGAGGGACAGATAAGGAACCCTGTTGCCAGGACAACAACAAAAGCTCCCCCACCAACATAGCCCCCTGCATTTCAGGGGTTCTCCGTGTAAGGAAAGCTTGCATCTTCCAACACCCTATCGTCAGCGTCCATTAGAGCGCCCTCGGGGAAAGCATCTCCGCGGCACCTTTGGGGCTGTTCTTTCCCGGATGGCGGGAAATGGAGTCTTCTCCTCCAAAGTGACGAACTCGTCATGGGGATCTTATGGCTATCTTTGGATTGTAACTTTTTGGGAAACAGTTGGATTGCCGATTGGACCCACAAAAAGTTACTCACTTTTTGTAGAGGGTCAACAGCATCCAAGGGACGAGAACCCGTATTTTGGTGGCACCAAACGTTTCGTGTTCTCGACAGGCTGTCCAAAAAATTCCCAGGGCACCGCTGGCTATGGATATGAGAGCTAAGGAGTTAGGGGCCATATGTCAGCATTTCTGATAAGATTTGGGAGGTACAGACCCACCCCCCCCCCCACCCAACCCCCCTCCCAAAAATCAAGGCAAATTAAACACAAAGACAATCAAATACACACCTCCTCCCCCCAAATCCCAAGCAAAACAAAGAAACAGCAAACAACCAAAGCAAAGCAACCAATCAACCAACCTGCCAGCCAGCCAAATGCCAAGCAACACATCGAGCTTGGAGCCTCGGAGTTGGCTAGGCCCTTCCTGAGCAACGCCCCATGCTGCAGCGCTACTGGGTGGCCGGAAGCCCAAGACGAAAGGGTTTTCGGGAGGCTCGTCCTTTTGGTTGGACCCCTCTAGAAGGTTTTGGTTCCTTGTCTTTTGGTTGGATTTTTCAAAACCTTTGGGTAGTTTGTGGTCTTTCAAAAGTTTCAAAACCTTTGGGTTGTTTGTTCCTCTGTTTAAACAAAGGTTGTTGACTTCGATGCTCTTGGCACGTGATTCGGGTTTGTTCTTGGTCCTGTTTTGGTGTTTCTGGCATTCGGTTGATTTTTGTTCTGGCAAGAGGAGGCTGCAAAACACTAGGGTTGCTTGCCTGAGCCGTTAGATTCACATGTGAATTAGGCCAAATTGGCCCACCAGCGTCCAACTGCTGAAACCCACTCTTACCCTTGAAATGTTTACCCCGGAATTGTTCAGGAAGTAAAATGAACCCCATCCGTGAACTCTGGTAAATGTTGCTTCTCATCCAGGTTTCTTGGCGGAGCAAAGTGTCTCCTTGTAGGCCGAAAGGAAAGTCTGAACCCTCGCAATTCCCTTAAACTGGATGCTGCACCAAGATTAAGGG